AACACAAAGTGGCACATAATTGTGAAGTGGAAAGAAAATGATAAATGGTTTTCAAAAGTTTTTACAAATAAATATCTGAAAAGTATGGCATGCATTTGTATTGATCCCCTTGAACTCTGATACCCCTAACTAAAATTGAATGGAACTAATTGCCTTCAGAAGTCACCTAATTAGTAAATAGAGTCCCATGTCTGTAACTTAATCTCAATATAAATACAGCTATTCTGTGAAGCCCTCAGAGGTTTGTTAGAGAACAGTAGTGAACAAACAGCATCATGAAGGCCGAGGAACACACCATAAAGGTCAGGGATAAAGTTGTGGAGATGTTTAAAGCAGGGTTAGGTTAAAAAAAAAATCCCAAGCTTTGAACATCTCAGGGAGCACTGTTCAATTCATCAACTGAAAATGGAAGGAGTATGTCACAACTGCAAACCTACCAAGACATGGCTGTCTACCTAAACTGACAGGCCGGGCAAGAAGCACATTAATCAGAGAATCAGCCAAGAGACTCATGGTAACTCTGGAGGAGCTGCAGAGATCAACAGCTCAGATGGGAGAATATGTCCACAGGACAACTATTAGTCGTGCATGCCACAAATCTGGCCTTTATGAAAGAGTGGCAAGTAGAAAGCCATTTTGAAAGAAAGCCTAAGAAGTCCCATTTGCGGCTTGCAAGTAGCAATGTAGGGGACACAGCAAACATATGGAAGAAGGTGCTTAGAGTCTGCAAAAGACTTGAGATTGGGGCAGAGATTCACCCTCCAGCAGGGCAACGACCCTAAACATACAGCCAGAGCTACAACAGAATGGTTTAGATCAAAGCATATTCATCTGTTAGGATGGCCCAGTCAGAGTCCAGACCTAAATCCAATTGAGAACTGTGGAAAGACTTGACAATTGCTGTTCACAGACGCTCTCAAACCAATCTAACAGAGCTTGAGCTATTTTGCAAAGAATGGGCAAACATTTCACTCTATAAAGGTGCAAAGCTGGTAGGGACATACCCAAAAAGACTTGCAGCTGTAATTTTAGCGAAGGGTGGTTCTACAAAGTATTGACTCAGGGGCTGAATACAAATGCACGCCACACTTTTCAGATATTTATTTGTAAAAAAGATTGTAACATGACAAAATGTGGAAAATTTCAAGGGGTATGAATATTTTTTCAAGGCACTGTAGGTCACAGGGCCAGAAAGCAAGTGGAAATCTCCCCAATGGGATCACAGACAGGAGTGGACTGACCATTTGGGCCCTCGGGCACTGCCCATGGGCCTGGGGCCAGTGGGGGGCCCCACCAGGGTTGCCAACTTCAGTAAATTCAGTGATAGTTTGTAAAAAAATTGTGAAATCTGTGATTTTTACATCTGTCCCTGAATGTTCTGTGGACATCCAGTGTCTGTAAAAATCGAAGGCTACAGTTGTGCCTCCTCTCCACTGCCCCTCAGCCAATGGCAACACACTGTGCCTTCCCCATTCCCCATCGCGCCTTATTTGACTTTATTACAGGAGATGCTGGTGGTGGGAGATGGAGGAGTAAACACAGCCTGCAGCTGAGGGTGGACTTCAGCCTGCTAGAAGGTAAATTGACTTGGCTGAGCAAACAGTAGTCTTGTCAATGGCTTACATTGGTGGGCAGGAGGGACTGTGTTCCCCCTAGCAGGGCTCCTGTCTCTGAGGCTGATAGATCTGTTTTCTGTGTGGGAAGAACTGCACTGCTTCAGAGGAAGGACCTGTTCTGAACCTCCCCAATCTCTGTTACACATTCCTGCTCAATACCTGCTCACCAATACACAGGCACAGCCTCTTCCTCTCATGCAATACCACCTCCTGTGACTTTGAGCTGCTGGGGCACCACAAGTTCCAGCATGTCAGGAGCTGAAGGAAGCAGCAATGTGTTAGGTCATACTGATTTTTAGATGAAAAGTGCTAGTGTGTGTGTGTTTGTGTCTGTGTGCATATATACTGTATGTGTATATATGTATACTGTATATGCAGTGTGTGTCTGTGTACAGTTGTGTTCAAAGTAATAGCAGTCAGACATCACTAACCTGATCAATCACTGTTTTTGGTAGAAATGATATTTCTACATGGCAAATAATTTACTAGCAGGTGTAGTAGAGTAATAGAAATCCAACAGACCCAACAGTCATGACATGCATGCTGCTGATTCTGTGTAATTGAGTCACTAATTGAAAGGGGCATGTTCAAACTAATAGCAGTGTGGAGTTCTATTAGTGAAGTCATTCATTTTTTGTAAAACAGGTGGCAATTATTGCCCTTATTTAAAGAAGGAAGGCAGCAAATGTTGTACATGCTGGTTACAGTGCATTTCTCTCTGAAATTCTGAGGAAAATGGGTCGTTCCAGACATTGTTCAGAAGAACAGCATACCTTGATTAAAAAGTTGATTGGAGAGGGGAAAACATATAAAGAAGTGCAGAAAATGATAGGCAGCTAAAATGATCGCAAATGCTTTAAAATGGCAACCAAAACCTGAAAGACGTGGAAGAAAGCGAAAAACTACCATTCGAATGGATAGAAGAATAGCCAATATGGCAAAGACTCAGCCAACAATCAGCTCCAAAAAGATCAAAGAAGGTCTAAAGTTACCTGTGAGTACTGTTACAATTAGAAGACGCCTATGTGAAGCCAAGCTATCTGCAAGAAGCCCCCGCAAAGTCCCACTGTTGAAAAAAAGACATGTGCTGAAGAGGTTACAATTTGCCAAAGAGCACATTGACTGGCCTAAAGAGAAATGGCGCAACATTTTGTGGACTGATGAAAGTAAGATTGTTCTTTTTTGGGTCTATTGGCCGGAGACAGTTTGTCAGATGACCCCCAAACACTGAATTCAAGCCACAGTACACTGTGAAGACAGTGAAGCATGGTTGTGCAAGCATCATGATATGGAGATGTTTCTCATACTACGGTGTTGGGCCTATTTATCGCATACCAGGGATCATGGATCAGTTTGAATACATCAGAATACTTGAAGAGGTCATGCTGCCTTATGCTGAAGAGGAAATGCCCTTGAAATGGGTGTTCCAACAAGACAACAACCCCAAACACACCAGTAAACGTGCAACATCTTGGTTCCAGACCAACAAGATTGACGTTATGGAGTGGCCAGCCCAATCAACGGATCTTAATCCAGTAGAAAACTTGTGGGGTGACATCAAAAATGCAGTTTCTGAGGCAAAACCAAGAAATAGAGAAGAACTGTGGAATGTAGTCCAATCATCCTGGGCTGGAATACCTGTTCACAGGTGCCAGAAGTTGGTTGACTCCATGCAACACAGATGTACAGCAGTTCTCAGAAACAGTGCTTATACAACGAAATATTCATTAAGTGATTCAAAGGAAAGCAAAATCTTCAAACATTTTTCAGTTTATATAGTGAATGTTTGAGTTTGTAAAGAAGAATACAAAAACTGCTATTTTTTTTGAACAGTCTAATATTCACTTTTCTTCAATTTTTTTAGAGGAACAACACAAATTTGATATATTTTTCTTCATGTTTTGATTTGGAATAGAATGTGTAGTGTTCCCAATGCATTTGTGTGTATGGAAATAAAAGCTATTAGAAGGATTTTGAGCTTTATTCACTTTTTTCAACACACTGCTATTATTTTAAACACAACTGTGTATATACCGTATATGTGTGTTTGTATACTGTATGATCCATGTGTGCCCACTACCGATAAACAGGAGTTGATCTACCTGTCGACTTCTGTTGAACAGACATGTTAGAAAAAAACACTTGATTAGTTGCCAACATGTCTATAGGAGAAATATGCCCATAGAAAACCACTTGGTGCCATTCTGAGCCAGCCGAACAATGAACTGCAGAGCTTGGCCACAGATCTAGCAGGAGGGTAGGTCTGGATGCTCACCTGTGCGATGACATCATGGCACCCATCAAACATAGCTTTTATTCACATGCCCCACTGCCCAATCTGAGGCTGAGCACAGCAGTTCACCATTCGGCTGGCTCCACAACTGCACACGTGCAGTTCAGAGTCGGCAACAAGTGGATTTTTTTTAAAAGCCTTTTACCACCAACCGCCTTCTACACCAAGGACCGAGGTGAACAGAAGTGTGTAAGGGGACACTGATGTAAGGGGGCTTTGCTGTAAGGTGGCACTCTAGGGACTCTACTGCAAGGTGGCACTCTGATGTAAGATGGGAGTCTAATGTAAGGGGGGACTCTGCTGTAAGGTGGCACTCTGGGGGGTGTGCTGTAAGGTGGCACTCAGGCAGTTTTACTGAAAGGTGGCACTCTGGGGGGCTGTGCAGCAAAGGGGCATTCTGGGAACTCTGATGTAAGGGGGACTCTGTGGACTTTGATGTAAGGGAGGACTCTAATGTGAGCTTGGCACTCATCCTGATTGCTGCACTCTATATGTTTTTCTGTTTGTTACTTACTCCTGACCCCTGCACTCTATACATTGTACTGTACATAGACCTAATGAAGTTCTTCTGTAATGTAGACTCAGTAAGACAGAAATATCCTTTTTTGTGCATAAAAATATACAATGGAAATGTTTATTATAAAAACAAATGATCCTTTGGCTGAGATTTATTTGTGCCTGTGAGACTGTCAGTTGTGATACAGTAATATGCATTTTGTGGATATAAGGACTGTGGTATATGTGTACAGGGTATACAGCAGACAGATTCTGTTCAGTCCTCCTTTAAGACTCTCCCACTAACCATGCCAATTGTTCACCATGGTATGCTATGCATGCCTCTGGCAGCATCTCCTTGGTAATGGTCCCAGAGCATTACTTTTCCCGGGGGCCCATGACGCTGTTAAGGTGGCAGTGCCCATGAGAGGCTCCTGGTCCCTTTATTGGGTTGCCACCTTTAAAGTGTTACTAAACCCAGGACCCTGCATTCACTCTATCTGGTCTCCCACTGTACACACTACATGAAAATGCAATTATTTTAGTAAATATAAAAGGCTAAATACCTTTTCTCATCAGCATTATATAGCAGTCTTGGGACCAGGGGCGGACTGACCATTTGGAAACTCGGGCACTGCCCGAGGGTCCAGGGTCAGTAGGGGGCCCCATGAGATGCCCCTGGTACCTTTTGCATAGGCTTTTTTGAGTTTGGGCAAGGACACAGGAGCCCCATGATCCCCTATTGCCCGGGGGCCCCATGAGTTGTCAGTCCACCCCTGCTTGTGACTTTTAACAGTGTCCAGCTGAGCACTGGTTATATCTTGTAGTAGGAGTTTTCTTTCTGCTCTAGGAGGATGCAAAAACCCTGACCTCTGTCTGCACAGTGCTGATTGGCCCTGTGCTGATTACATGCACTCTTTCAAGAAAAAGAAAAACTTCTCTAGCACTAAACACTAAACTGAGCATGTGCAGATTGTCTCCACAATATTTCTTATCAGGAGAAAAGAGGGGGGCCCTGGAAAAAGGGGAGGATCAGAGGAGTCAGGATCAAAGAGCATTTACACAATGCAGAGTATTAACCCCTTATGTTCTACTACAATGAGTATAACAAGCATGCTTTACTGCATACACAGATGGATTTTACTGTTGTGGGTTTAGTAACACTTTAAGTCTCCTGCCACTCTGAATGTCACCAAGCTTGGTGACCCTCCATGCAGGCCTGCCGCATTAATGTTGCTTCATAAAGATATTTTTAAAACTGGGGGCCCCATGATCTTCTATTACCCCCCCCCCCCCATGAGTTGTCAGTCCGCCCCTGGTCACAGACAAATCAAAATGCAACAGAATTTTAACATAGAGTTAGTCTCAGAAACAAAAGACTCAAAAACAAAAGACATATTTGAGACTCTCAAAAGACAAAAGTATCCTTCTGAAGATAATTTTCACACACAAAGTTAAATTGGCAAGAGGACAATGACAGAGCTAAGCCTTTGCAAAAAAAAAAACAGAATTGAGAGTTAAGTAGGTTCCATTATTACTCTATAATATTTGTACTAACTCAAATTGTTGCCTTACATAAAAACTCCATACAGTGAGGAACAGAAGTATTTGAACACCCTGCGATTTTGCAAGTTCTCCCACTTAGAAATCATGGAGGGGTCTGAAATTCACATTGTAGGTGCATTCCCACTCTGAGAGACATAATTTGTTTAAAAAATTCAGGAAATCACATTGTATGATTTTTAAAGAATTTATTTGTCTTGCACTGCTGAACATAAGTATTTGAGCACCTAAGAAACAGCAAGAATTCTGTCTCTCAAAGACCTGTTACTGTGCCTTTAAAAAGTCCACCTCTACTCCACTCATTAATCTAACTTAGTAGCACCTGTCTGAGCTCTTTAAAGACACCTGTCCACCCCACAGTCAGTCAGACGCCAACTACTACCATGGGCAAGAACAAAGAGCTGTCAAAAGACACCAGAGACAAAATTGTGGACCTCCACATGGCTGGAAAGGGCTACAGGGCAATTGCCAAGCAGCTTGGTGAAAATAGATCAACTGTTGGAGCAATTGTCATAAAATGGAAGAGGCTAAAGACGACTGTCAGTCTCCCTCAGACTGGGGCTCCATGCAAGATCTCACCTCGTGGTGTATCACTGATGGTAAGAAAGGTGAAGAATCAGCCCAGAACTACAAGGGAGGAGCTGGTCAATGACATGAAGAGAGCTGGGATCACAGTTTCAAAGGTCACTGTCAGTAGAATACTATGTCGTCATGGTTTCAAATCATGCATTGCACGGAAGGTTCCCCTGCTCAAGTCATCACATATCCAGGCCCGTCTGAAGTTTGCCAATGACTATCTGGATGATCCAGAGGAGGCATGGGAGAAAGTCATGTGGTCAGATGAGACAGGCATCAACAGCGAGGCTCTTACTTCACTTTCCATTCATCATACATCAGCATCAGAGGTTGGTCATCAGCTCTGAGGAAAGGGATTTGTCCCCGAAACGCGTCAGCCATTTGACCTCACTGACAGTGAGAACACCTTGCCCGCCGTTGTGGCCATTGTCATTTTTCTATGCTTTTTAGATACATGCTTCGTCTGTGAGTATGTTTTTATGATTTAATTCCTACAATAAACCTTGGATAATGCACTAGGTGTGTGCGCCACCTGTTTTCTCTCTATCCAGTGGCTGATTTCCCCATCTGAGGAGGGCTGCACCCCTGGAACATTTCCTTTTGGTTGTCGCTGTCCTGGTACCCTTGGCTTCCCTTTTGGCTGTGCATATCCTGAGGCGCTGGAGAGTACATACGCTATCAGATGAGACCAATGTAGAACTTTTTGGTCTAATCTTCACTCGTCGTGTTTGGAGGAAAAAGAAGGATGAGTTGCATCCCAAGAACACCATCCTACTGTTATGCATGGAGGTGGTAACATCATGCTTTGGAGGTGCTTTTCTGCGAAGGGGACAGGACGACTGATTGGGAATGCACCTACAATGTGAATTTCAGACCCCTCCATGATTTCTAAGTGGGAGAACTTGCAAAATCGCAGGGTGTTCAAATACTTCTGTTCCTCACTGTATATATTTTATGATGTATGTATTGTAGTTCAAAAATAAGGCAGAGAAGAAAGTTTTAATGGTTTAAAACTTGCTAATCTTTACAGTAACATAGTACACTATAGAAATAACCTGCCAGTTGAGGTAAAACATGTATAACCCAAAATACTTCCCTCTGAAGACAAGAATCCCCCCGAGCTGCAGAAAAGAAGGAAGAGCTGTCTGGCATTGAGAGGCAAATAAATAATAGAAGCAGACAAAGTGGTCCTTACCTGACATGCAGGCTGATTCTTTTGATGTTACTGGAAGGCAGAGGGTTTGCACTCACGACACTTGTTACAAAACAGAAAACAGCAAATGATTCCCTCAGCTGCCTCACTGAAAAAATTGAAGTCTGCCTTCACATACAATCAAGTTATGATAGTGTGTAATCTTTGTCCACTGTCAACACTCCATAAAGGCTGCCATTTGTTAACTCTGTTTATGTTTACAAAAAAAGAAAAAAAAAAATTAAACTCTACAGAACTTACATTAACCACTTGCTTCCTGAGGATTTACCCCCCTTCCTGGCCAGGCCATTTTTTGTGATACGGCACTGTGTTACTTTGACTGACAATTGAGCGGTCATTAAACATTCTACATAAATGAACTTTATGTTCTTTTTACCCACAAATAGAGATTTCTTTCCATGGTATCTGATCACCTCTGCATTTTTTTTTTTTTTTTTACGCTATAAACAAAAAACGACCGACAATTTTGAAAAAAACAATATTTTTGACTTTTTGCTATAAAACATATCCAGTAATAAATGTTAAAAATAAAATGTCTTCATACATTTAGGCTAAAATGTATTCTGCTACATGTCTTTGCTAAAAAAAAATCCCAATACGTGTGAATGAATTGGTTTACGTGAAAGTTATAGCATCTACAGATGGCGGTATATATTGGAATTTTTTTTTTGTACTAGTAATGGAGGCGATCAGCAACTTGGTGACACTGACACTGGGTGGGAACCAGGGGCGTACTGACAACTCATGGGGCCCCCGGGCAATAGGGGATCATGGGGCCCCTGTGTCCTTGCCCAAACTCAAAAAAGCCTATGAAAAAGGTACCAGGGGCATCTCATGGGGCCCCCTACTGACCCCGGGCCCTCGGGCAGTGCCCGAGTTTCCAAATGGTCAGTCCGCCCCTGGTGGGAACTAACTAACTGCCACTGACATCCCCAGTGACTCTAATACAGTGATCAGTGCTAATAAAAAGCGCTGTCACTGTACTAATGACACTGGTCAGGAAGGGGTTAACATCTGGGGCTATCAAAGGGTTAACTGTGTGCTGTGTTTTACATAGTGTGCTGTGTGTGTTTTACTATGTAGACATTATTTATTTTGTAGATGTATTGTTTACATACAGACCTCTCCCCTATCAGCTCCACCCATGATCACCGTGTCCCAGCCACCTATTCTCGGTGACTGACATACCAAACAGCACGCCCCCTACACAGAAATGCAAAATCATGTATATATATGTATATGATTTTGTGCATCCCTGCTGCCCTGTAGCAGTATTTCTGCTATAGGGTGGTCGGGAAGCGCTTAAGTTATAAATATAAACATTTAAAAAATGACCTACTATAACCTTTTCTGAGCCTTTACTTCTAACCTGAGGTGGCCTGACCATTTTTGCAATTTTTCACTTTTTTAAAATATTTTTCACATATAGCTTTCAAAGTTTGTAGTTTATGAAGGTACAGGACCTGTAGTAAAAAAAAGGTGGTGCTACTGATATTGTAGATAGTTGAGCAACTGTTTATCAACACTATATTTTTGAGAAAAACACATAAATAGACCAACGATATTTTATTTTTGAGACAGAGATAGAGTGTGGGGACAAAGTCCTCAATCTCTTTCTCATCCGCATTATTGCATTGACTGACAATGAATAAGAAAGTGCAGAGTACTCAGCTCTTCTGTATCAAACAGAAGTGATAGAAATCACATCATTCATGCTTACTATCTCTTCAGGTATGAATGAACACCAGCGTGATCAGTACTGATCAGTGAGCGATGAGGCTGAATTCTTCCTCTCTGATCACCAATGTGAAGGGGTATTCTTCTTCCTACTGACACCAATGTACAGTAAGTGGGAATTGCTCCTACTGACCACCAATTTAAAGTGTATCAATTTACCTGTTTGCCAAAGCAGTTACATTCCAAGCATGGCTTGAAATATAACTGTTACAGTTGCCAGTTTGCTTATGTTAGCTCTCAACTGAATTTGCAAGCTATCAAAGGGCTGGTGTAAGCTGAACACATGTGCAGCACCATGGCAACAGCAGATCAAATGGCAGCTTTCTTGTCTGTAGAGGATAGGAGTGTTTAGTTGTGCTTTAAAAGGGCATTCTTCCACCTACTGACCACCAATATCAGAGGACATTACCCCTCCTAACGACCCCCAATGGAAGGGGGCATACTTCCTTTTACTTATCACCAATGTAAAGGGGTATTCTTCCTCTTACTGACCACCAGTGTAAGAAAGCATTCTTCTCACTGGCCACCAATGTAAGGAGTCTACTGACCAATGTAAGAGGGCATTCTTCCTCCTACTGACCATCCAGGGTATTCTTCCTTCTAATGACAACCAACATATTAAGCCTTTCTTCCTTCTACTGAAAAACGTAAGGGGCATTCTTCCTTCTGATCACTAATGTAAGGGAGTGTTCCTCTTCCTACTGATCAACATGAAGGGGCATTCTTACTCCGACTGACCACCAACATAAGTGATCATTCTAAGTGATCATTCTTTTTCCTACTTACCAATGTAAGGAGGCATTTTTTCTTATACTAACCACCAAAGTAAGTGGGCATTCTTACTCTTACTGACCACTAATCTCAAGAAGCGTTCTTCCTGATATTGACCACTATTCTAAAGCAGCATTCTTTCTTGTACTGACCACCAATGTAAGAGGGCATTCTTTCTCAACTTTACTATCTAGACAAGACAACTTTTTTTTTTCATATAGAGAATCATATAGAAAACTGATCCCAAATCAAATTTAGATGGTGATACTAATTGCATTTACAATTAATTATATTTAGTACTTACAGTAACAGCTTTTATTGGTGTTTTTTTAATATCTAGAGTTCGGCTTTACCAGAAGTGTTTTAAACTACTTTAATAAACAAATAAAAACAGTATAAAATGTACATCTGGTAATAAAAAGACACACAATAAATAGTTAGTATGTAGAGGTTTGCTCCTCTACATGATGATAGGAAATAACAAAAAGCAAGGTGCTGAGGTTAATACCAAGCGGAAAAAACACCTTTATTAAAAGCAGCACACTTGTCAAAAATCATCAATCCACCAGTGGATAATGACACAACAGGGTGAGACACCAGATCCAATCAGCTGAAGGTACACAGAGGCAATAAATG